TCGTTCCAACGTATAAATGGAACCCCGGGGGGCTACCATCGGCCGACTTTTCTGGGACATGAGTTTCTCAATACGTGACATTTATGTTGATATAATGAATTAAATGAAATTGTCAAACGATTGTTCTTTATATATCCAAATCAATAAACCAATCAAACATATACAATTTGACTTTTGGTCAAGTAAGTAGATTATCCCTAATTATTAGAATGAGCTTTCTCTTTCAAGCGAATTGTTCTTATTCCATAGATATTAACTAAGCTTCAAAAATGGGATAATGAACGTCTTGCTTTCAATTTATTTTATATGTCAGGATGAATGATACTCATTTTATCTGTTTTTATAATACAGAGCACAAAGTCGTAGAGTAAAAAAAAATATACCAGCTGACTCTCGCAACATTTTCTCCATACGACATCTTGTCCATGCAACCTTTTGTCCTTGCGACATTCTGTCCATGCGACATTTTTTTGGCAACCATATGTCCGCAACATTCTGTCCGCGACGAACTGTCCGCGACAATTTGTCCTGCAACGTTTTGTCGTGCGACATTTTGTCCATGCGACGTTTTGCCCGCAACGATTTGTCCGCGACATTTTGTTCTGCGACATTCTGTCCGGACACCCTAACGGTGGTCAATGTGTATCAATACAACAAAAAATTTCGTTATTCTAATTGAATCTTAGAGTGCTTGAATTCTTCAATAATATCAATTGTCTTGAACAAATAATTATTTCATCAGATTTCTAAACATATAATGATATTTGAAGTTTCTTTTCTCGATTACTGATTAGATATCAAACGAGAAGATTTTTTGTTTGAATATTCAATAATATTGAATTATATAATGGTAGAATACTATGTTTCAAAATCCTACCTTTATCAGTTGAATATTTAATATAAAAAACTTGAGTATTCCTATTACAGACAAATCATGAACTTCTCTTTCCTATAAATCTGTCGAAATTATTTTAAGGAAAAATGAAGAATTTGAAACGATGAAGAGTAAATACAATTTTGACTTGAAAAAGTAGATGAATAGTTAGATATTTGATATTCCTTTCCATAGTTCGCGATCAAAATACGCTTATATAATTGGTTGATTGACGATATTCTTTTCTTTTCTACGACCACTATTCATTGAAAACACTTCTCGTCCATCCTTACATATATAATCGACGTCAGATCATATTCGACGTATGCAATATAGCAACAATAAATTGTTGGCCAAGCAAAAGTATGCATATCTACTTAGAGTTATAGTTAATGCTTTTCTTTTTCATGATAGATAATGTTAAATTACTTGATTTACCTGATGAATTAATATTAGCTACTGTGGAGAAAGGTAAATCTCAAATATCCTTTCTGTACTCTATGATCGATATTGGTAATCGTCGATTGGAACAACTTACCTTCAACAAACGTCATTCAATTGATTTCGTGATTGATTATCTTGAAGGGAAAAATTCGTCGTTATTTGTGAACCGATTCTATTCCCATATTATACTTCGTATATATGATCAAATTCAATCATTAACGATTCATGTTCATCATATTAAGTCTCTTCGTAAATTTCTTCGAAATAATTACAATGGAGCTCTTCCAAATTTGACACATTTAAAAGTTAGACTCTGTGCTAAGTGTCCTAAAACTGGTGCACCATATACGATAGGTAATTTATATCGTTCGTATTTCTGTTTTGAATTAGTATAATTGGAACAATATTTTCTTCATATTAATGAACTTTTTAGGAAACCATCTAATGTCTCACCTTGAATGGCGGAAACGACTTCTTTATACAATTGTTCTTCAATGGTTTCTATTTCCTTCATCTTTTGTTAGTGAGAAGATAAATGAATTATGTTACTCAACAATGATGCGTTCGATCCAATCATTTCAACTTGATAGTAATTGTTGTTTGAGCAAATGTTTTCGTAAAGGTGAAAGACACTTCGGAGAAGTATTTCGACTAACTGATCTTCGAATTTTTTTATTGGATCTTGAACAAGGCATTCATCTTTTATTGGAGCTCGGTTCACAACTTCATTCATTTACGGTAACTATCGGAAATTGCTTTTCATACGAACCTATTTTAACATCTGATCTGCAATTGGTAAGTGATAATCAAGTTGATGTAGTATCTTAACAGAGTTATTGATTTAGATTTCATATCCTAATTTAAAACAANAAATGAAAGTAATCATTTATAAAAACTTAATAGATTATCAAGAGTGTTTTTCTCTTCTTCGATGTTTGTCAAATGTTGAAGACTTAACATTATTATTAGCTATCGGAGAAGATGGTATAAAACTCAATTATTTTATTGATGAATTTGTTCTGGAAAAAGATTTACTTTCGTACATGTATTGTGTACATCAGTGTAAATTTCATATTCGTTCAATTTTAAAAAATGTTTCTCATGAAATAATCAACGAACTCGAACAAGAACAGAAAGCGAAAGAAATCACATTCAACATCGATCTCATTGGTTTTCATCATTTAACTACACTTATTTTATATGATATTCATATGGATTATGCTGAACAATTTCTTTGTCAAATTCATATTTCGTCTCTAGTGGAACTTGCTATTGACAAACATATTTTATTAACAATAGTGGAACCATATCATCCACAAGCAATAGATAATTGCTTACGAATTGGGAAACTACGAACATCAGAACCTTCTTATGAAATTATACATACGATTCAACAATTTTTTCCACGAGCTGACTATGTCAAACATAAGAATAAGTATTGAAAAGATCAATCTGAATTAAATATCTGTTTTTCTTTATGAATCAAATATACGTTGAAACAATTCGAAAAAGCAAATTTCTTCCTGTCAAAATGAGTTTTTTATTTCGAAAAACATTTGTTTTGATATAAAATGAGATGATGATTTTGAATAACAATGGAAATTCCATCGAATCCCAGGTTGATCAATCCCGTACTCGGGTCCCGTGTCGGATCCGAAAGATGAATTTCCCGAATTTGTTGGCCTGGGATTCAACAATAATTTGTATTCTTCATGGATAAACTTGAATATGACTAAAATTGGTACAAGATACTTTTCAAATTTGTATTTTGTAAAGCTTGTACCGAAAGACCATGTTGATTTTGATTTAAAAACAAATCTTTGACACCGAAATATTCGCCTACACGTAATATTTTTATATTTTTATAATTATTACAAGTTTATAAGACTTACCTGTGCTAAGGCATCGATTTCTCCTTCAATAGGATCTTCATTTTCGTTAAGTGTCATCGCCAATATAAACCTATGAACTTGAATGAATGGTCTTAATCATAAGGAAAGACATTTGGTCTTTTGAATATACGTAAGGAGGATTTCCATGAAAATTCAATACAACACTAGAAAATTGGAACTAGAATTTTTTGAAATTTTTCAATAAAATTTTTTCAAAAAAGTTCAGATTCTCGAGCAATTATTCGGTAGTTTTCTTTCTATATCTGCCAAGAGAGGGCGTAAAGGTCCAGTGGTTATTTTTTTTTATGATCATATGTTTTATTATTCATTTAGTTATATGCCATTCATAAATATTTATAATGTAGCTTATATTAATGAATATGTAAGGATGATATAGAAGTTGAAAACATAAATATTAAATCATATAATATATGACCAGTTCTTTCCCATGATACCTTTCATTTTTCATCACAACCTATTTAAAAGTATTAAAAATTAGAAATCATCTTATATCAATCAGCAATGCGAATAAAAATCGAATTTATATACTAAATTTTTTACTTTTGACCTTTGACTCATCGATGACTCACCAGTCCCTCTCATTCAAAACTTGATTGATCAATTTAATTTTCTAGAAAAAAATATTTATATGACCTTTGACCCTGACACGGACAAACATACAAACTATTTTTTTCGTAGGAGCCTCCTTTCAGTCGAGGGAACAATCTGTCATATTGAATGAATCCCTACTTGATATCATAAGAATCAATAACGCTCGTCGAGAGTGACACGCTTGACTTTCGACTGAAATAGTAGCTCAACGTACAATAGTTTTCATTCATGTCCCACACCAAGAAAAAGCAGAAATATCTCATTAGGTTTGACTTCTCGAGCTGACTTCAGGATCATTATCTTTCTCTCTATTTATCTTGGATTTCTAAATATAGATCACCTCGAAAATGAAATGGAACCTCCCTAAGAGCGGGTGACCTGAACTTTCCGCCTTCAAACATGTCTCCGTTTTCTAACAAAACGATGAATAGTGTGAAATAAAATACCAGAAAGCATCTCCGCAATCCTCTCAAATTCTGACTTTACTGTTTTATTTTATTCATCACGACGTTTAATCGAATAATCTTTATTGCGATAATCAACAAACACAGGACTTACGCTCACCCTTCCGATTCGCTGAGCTATTTTTCAAGGAGAAAAACAAGAAACAAGCACTATTGGTAAAGCTATATAGATCTAACCGCTTGATACTTCTAAATAAAACATTACTCATATTTATTTACGTTCGTACAAGCTTCCTAAACAAACGTTTAATCGCTCGCCACCATCGCTCCGGTTGGACACTCAAGGATAGTCGCTGATACGCATACCTTCACTATTTCATCTACTTTTGATTCGCTTTCGAAACAAACAAATGAAATTCTTTTAACTGCTTTTGGAAAAAGAACTGACTTTGTGTTAATGTGATTTTGGGAAGGAAACTGTCGAGACGTGATGCTGTTCTCTGAGTGGCTATGATTTGAATAGGTTAGCTATTCACATGTTTGGAATCCTATTTACGTTTTTCCTGTCTGGCTAAATCGAACAGTAGAATGGCAAACATTCATTTGATTTTTGTCCATGTATATCTATTGAAAATTCTATCAAATAATCTAACGTATAGTAGTCAGTGATACACAACTCTTAAACACTATTGGTATAAGTCTCATACTTATTCTATAGTTTACTTGAACTGCGTTTTTTTAATCAATTTATTACTAAATTTTACACTTAGAAGTCGTAAATGGTTCTGTTCACACATAAAGATGCAAACATCAATCAGTTCATTATCTGTCATTACCATTTCAAATAGAAATACGCATGAATCTCTTTCCTGAGCAGAAAGCCAAGAGGCTATGCAGAAATTAGTCGGAGACAGTTTCCGTCGGATTTAAAGTCATTGCTATCGATAACCATTGATCAAATTCAAACAGACGGTCGTACAATTTCAGCTTCTTGGGGAAAAAACAAGAATCAACATAGGTCGTAGTCAATGGTTCACATAAAGGCTAACGCCGGATTCTAGATCCTCGCCGTCAATCACCTCTTGGTCCACTTTTTCACTAGTTTAGTGAATACTGAATTTTCATTGAATAGGAAAGGCAAACTTTTGGCATTTCAAGCTGGTGGTTTACAAGCTGCGTAGTCCTTTGTTTCAAAAAAGTCAATCAACTTGTCAAGTCAGTCTCATTCCTCAAGTCTATGACCATAAATTCTTTTCTCGACATTTACACAGTAAAGATCAGCTCAAGTCACTCTTCATCGTTAACATATGATTCGTGACGCGAAGTTAAAAAGATAACTTAAAGAGTATTTTCATTCTTCATATTTTATCCGAGAGTTAGGTGTACTGTAAAAAGTGTATCAGATAGAATACAAAGCGGGTCATGTAGAAATATGAATTGTTTTTTCAATAAGCCGAGAGTTGCTTACCCAATCAGCCCCGTCTTCAAACTCTAGTGAGATCTAGATATATCAATACACCATCGAAAATTTCATTTTAATCCCAATAGCCATTTTAGAGATGCCGTATAAATAAATAAACGGTAGATACTGGCAAATTCTAGTGTAGTACTCATATTTTCGGTCAGTTATAGCGATCAGATGTTTCAAATATGTTCTCCGTAACATGTTGTTGACACTTTAGCTATATTCAGTTAAAGGCCATTCTTAATTAAAACAGGAGCTGTGTCTGAATGGCTTCCTTAGCGCCAATGAATACCAAGATGATTTGGGTGAAGTTCATTCAAACCCATGGACCGACACACGTCCTTTTGGTGTGCCTTTATTTTGACCTTTCACTAAACCTAAGCCCGTCTTGCAAAGTTTGATGACCGCAGCTACAACAGAGTTGAGAGTAACAGACGGGTAATCTGGATGAAACACGCCTAGATCTTCCAACAGATCCTTATCATATGGTTCCTCACCACATATTGACGTTTCCGCAGGTCAAACCTATCATGCATGTAGTTGAATGGTTTTCAGTGTTCTCTGTCACAAAGCCAGCTGGAACACTTTCGTCTGAATCGTGCACACTAGTCCACAAACACGTTCTCCTCGACCTACAAAAGCTCCATGCAAATTTGCACGCCTTCTCTATTATAGAGCTGCTTGGGTGAAATTTCACGCAGATCACACACCCTGGTCAATCAGTACTATTTCTTGGTTTTCTTAGTCTAAATGAACCTGAATAGAAAGTTTTGCGATCATAACTAAGATGCGAGTGAATTCAAGCGCAATCTGATTCTTCTATCGAAATTGATCATGTAAGTGAACGACCGGGCACACCGACCGATTTTAGCAGTGTACTCACTTTCAGGGTACACAAAAAACATAATAATGATAATACTAAATGGTACTAAAATCTAATGAAGTAAGGCCACATAGCATGCGTACAGCGTTTTTACGCGGTACTGCCACAGACAGAGACTCAGAAAAACATCTTCAAGAATATCGAAAATCAATTATCGATTGTGAAGCAAACTTGTTACGCAAGGAGATCCCAGGTCGACTAATCCTAGAGTCGGATTTCATCGGGGACCGGGGAATGGAATCGCATTGGGTTTCGATGACTTATCGGATCCTAGTAACTTCAGTCGACAAAATCCGATAGTGAAATAATTTTTTAAGCAAATCTGCAAAGTAATATGACATACAATTGAAACAATAGTAAATTTTAACTGTCTCAATTCATTTTTGTTTGTATATATACGTTTCCACAACAAATAAGCGTTATATTCTCTATCGGATCAATGGATATAATAAACTTAACTCTACTAATTCATTGCCGTTGGCTTGCACAGCAACGCTGAAGTCACTGAAAATTTACCTTGTTCAATAAAAAATCGTGCGCCTAGTAAACAAGCTGCTATATGTGTCTCACTAGAAGTACACCGAATTAATTTTACCCAATGAGTGTGAATTTCGTTTTGTCATTCGTTATAGTAATTCACACATCTCCAGATACCTATGAAGCTTTATATTCATATTTGTAATTAGAGGAAAACTTTCTAATTGTTTCATACTTCTTCTTTGGAAAAGAGATCCACAGTTATTGTCATGAAAACCGAAATTTAAATACCCCAGTGACGAACAACTATTATTCTAGTGAGATTCTAACATTACACAAATGCGTAAGACCATTGATTTGACAACTACCTACTTGGAAAACCTTACTCATAGTATCATTCACTCACGTTAGTTTAATACCTACCGCAGCACATTCACAATCGGCACAATGAAACGATTCAGAACTTAACGTATCTTTTAGCCGTTTTTGTACGCAGTAAAACCTCCCTAAAATGAACACTTACGGGACTGGTTAAAACATGTTCACCATATAGAGGTGTCATCATGAATAAACTATTACATGTATATTGTGTATGATAAAGTGCTACACGTTATTGACTGAGTTGAATTTAGTGAATTTATCACGTACATTACGCTTCTTGTTTGAGTTTTCATTTTGTTCGTAATTCTCAATGTACTCAACTTTGCGC